TCCCTGCATGATTTTAGTCATACATGATAAATATCAAATACGTTATAGCTTGACTACAAGTTTAAAAACAACGCTGCAATTGTTATAATTAAGGAAATGAAACTTACCATCATGAAATGTCTACACAGGCGATAATGCCAAAAAGAAAGAGAAACATAGAAAAATAGGCATATTTTATTCAAGACATTTATATGACATCAACATGCATTTATCATTCTTAAAATCACCGCCAGAATGTCCAACTTCACCATGATGAACTTAAAATTGGGTTCTGTTATTTTTCCTCAACAGTTCTCCTCACAAAACGAAATTTTGATATTGATTTTGATTTTTCAAATTTGATAAGAACAGAGTGGAAATTATTAGCAACACCAAAATAACAGCAAAGCTAATGTTTTCTGTTAGTTTAAGCCCAAACTAAGAAAAGTAAAACCAAACTTTGTGGCAATAATTAAGACCAAACTGAACATGGTGTGTTTATGGTGCATGTCGGCAATGTTGTCTCGGTGGGGGCGTGGTGGAGGAGGGGCTTAGGTAGACGATATTATCGGATAACGCGATATTTTTAAAGGTGATTATCGATAAGATATTTTTGACATATCGCCCAGCCCTAATATATATATTTGTTTTGTTTTCTATGTATAGTTTGACTTTTCTATTATTCAGTTGTTTTTCGATTCATTAATATATACAGGTGCATCTCAATAAATTAGAATGTCGTGGAAAAGTTCATTTATTTCAGTAATTCAACTCATATTCTAATTTGTTGAGATAGTGAATTGGTGGGTTTTTGTTAAATGTGAGCCAAAATCATCACAATTAAAAGAACCAAAGACTTAAACTACTTCAGTCTGTGTGCATTGAATTTATTTAATACACGGGTTTCACAATTTGAGTTGAATTACTGAAATAAATTAACTTTTCCACGACATTCTAATTTATTGAGATGCACCTGTAGCTGTGGTAATTGATATTATGCTAAATTATAAACAAACAAACATGGTTAATTGCACAGTAACTTGCCAAGATCTTCATGCTATATCTTTTTCAGTTTTGTTTTAACTTTTCACCTTTAGCTTCCATTTCCGTTTCTTAAAATAAGCAGTTCCAGTAACGTCACAGTTTTATTAATCTTATTTGCTGGAATAGTTTTTGCACTTGGCTCTAATTTACTTGGATTTGTTATATAACCACTTAATTATTAATCAGTTACCCTCAAGGCATCTCAGTTCATTCATATCTCAAGAGCATCATGGGGAACACTTTTAAAATGTCTTTAGAGAACAGAATTCTACCATCTTTTTCTGTCCTTGCTTCACCCTGTCTCTTTCTTATCTCATTTTCATCCAGATGCTGGTAAGTCAACTATTGGAGGACAAATCATGTGAGTTGCTGATTTTGCCACATTGTTTTTAGCAGATATTGTTGGTTTTTCCATCCCATGTTTCTGATAGCCTATATTCTGCCCCTCCTCCACAGGTATTTAACAGGAATGGTGGATAAACGAACTCTGGAGAAGTATGAGAAAGAAGCCAAGGAGAAGAACAGGGAAACATGGTAATTAACTTAGTTAAAAAGTTAATTTACCAGAACATCTGGTGGGCAGTCAAACAGATTCCCTCTAAAGAAACTTGTAACACTTCAGTATTTTTATTTATTAATTTTTGACTAAGGTAGAGGAATTTTTCATAGTAAATGTTTTTTCTCAGGTACCTCTCTTGGGCCCTTGACACAAACCAGGAGGAAAGAGACAAAGGAAAAACTGTGGAAGTCGGACGTGCGTACTTTGAGACAGAGAAAAGGCACTTTACCATTCTGGACGCACCAGGCCACAAAAGCTTTGTGCCCAACATGATTGGTGGAGCTTCACAGGCTGATTTGGCAGTGCTGGTGAGTCATAGCGTCGAATAGGCACTGAAAGGCAGCCGTGAGAAATATCCACTCATGCTACCTGCAATTCAGGAAGTCTCCATGGAAAAACCCTCTCCATTGCTGGGCTGTGAGCAGGTTGACTGTGTTAATGACACAGTAGATGGCGCTGTTTGAATGCCAGTGTCAGTCTCGAAGGCTTTGACTTTCACTCACACACCAGAAACTGCTGTCTGTTCATTCACTTCAGTCTCTGAATTCATTGTCATATTTCTGTCTGAAGGTAATCTCTGCAAGGAAAGGAGAGTTTGAAACAGGCTTTGAGAAAGGAGGCCAGACGCGGGAGCATGCCATGTTGGCCAAAACTGCTGGAGTGAAGCATTTGATTGTACTTGTAAACAAAATGGATGATCCAACAGTGAACTGGAGTTTGGAGAGGTCAGAAAATTGACATTTATATACAAAGGCTATTGTTATTGTATTTGATCTTGTTTTATTACTTTTTTAGAAAAAATGGTATTGAGTGTTAATTTTTTCCACTGTTTGCACATAGGTACGAAGAATGTAAGGAGAAACTTGTTCCATTTTTGAAGAAAGTTGGGTTCAACCCCAGGAAAGATGTTAATTTCATGCCATGTTCGGGACTTACTGGGGCCAATCTAAAGGAGCCAGCGGAGTACTGCCCTTGGTATATGTAAGTGTGCTGACTTGCTGTTATTTCATTTTAATTTGAATGCTTTTTGACAATTATTGTGTAATATTTTAAATTTAGTATAAAAATACATTAAATCAGTGGTTCTCAACCTTTTTGACTCCAAGGCCCTTTTTTGTCCAAGATTGTATTTGAAGGCCATTCCTTCTAAGGTGAAATATACATGTGGTGCTTCTGTAATGACCATTAATGAGCTCAAAAATATGATGTCAGTTTATTATTGTACTTTCTCCTAATTTTTTAAACATTTCAATTAATATTTAAATTTAGTTCTATTAACATAGGCTCAATGGGATTTACTGGGGCCCCCCTAGAAGTTAGCTGAGATGTCCTGGTTGTCCTGGGCCCCCTGGTTAAGAACCACTGCTTTAAATATCATAAAAGTACATGAATAATGGGTCTCACTATTTTTGTATATTATGGACAGAGGGTTACCATTCATTCCACATCTGGACAGTTTGCCAAATTTCAACAGATCAAGTGATGGACCAGTCAGGTTACCCATAGTAGACAAATATAAGGTATGTAAAGTGTAAAATAAATCATCTTTGAAGAAGGAGAAAAAAAATTGTATATGTATATATAATATATATATATACACTCACTGGCCACTTTATTAGGTACACCTGTTCAATTGCTTGGTAACACAAATTGCTAATCAGCCAATCACATGGCAGAAACTTAAGATGTGCATCTAGATGTGGTGAAGACGACTTGCTGAAGTTCAAACCGAGCATCAGAATGGGGAAGAAAGGGGATTTAAGTGACTTTGAACGTGGAATGGTTGTTGGTGCCAGACGGGCTGGTCTGAGTATTTCAAAAACTGCTGATCTACTGGGATTTTCACGCACAACCATCTCTAGGGTTTACAGAGAATGGTCTGAAAAAGAGAAAATATCCAGTGAGCGGCAGTTGTGTGGACGAAAATGCCTTGTTGATGTCAGAGGTCAGAGGAGAATGGGCAGACTGGGTAGAGATGATAGAAAGGCAACAGTAACTCAAATAACCACTCTTTACAACCAAGGTATGCAGAATACCATCTCTGAACGCACAACACGTCGAACCCTGAAGCAGATGGGCTACAGCAGCAGAAGACCACACCGGGTGCCGCTCCTGTCAGCTAAGAACAGGAAACGGAGGCTGCAATTCGCACAGGCTCACCAAAATTGGACAATAGAACATTGGAAAAACGTTGCCTGGTCTGATGAGTCTTGATTTCTGCTGTGACATTCAGATGGTAGGGTCAGAATTTGGCGTAAAGAACATGAAAGCATGGATCCATCCTGCCTTGTCTCAACGGTTCAGGCTGGTGGTGGTGGTGTAATGGTGTGGGGGATATTTTCTTGGCACACTTTGGGCCCCTTAGTACCAATTGAGCATCGTTTAAACGCCACAGCCTACCTGAGTATTGTTGCTGACCATGTCCATCCCTTTGTGACTACAGTGTACCCATCTTCTGATGGCTACTTCCAGCAGGATAATGCACCATGTCACAAAGCTCAAATCATCTCAGACTGGTTTCTTGAACATGACAATGAGTTCACTTTACTCAAATGGCCTCCACAGTCACCAGATCTCAATCCAATAGAGCACCTTTGGGATGTGGTGGAACGGGAGATTCGCATCATGGATGTGCAGCTGACAAATCTGCAGCAACTGCGTGATGCTATCATGTCAATATGGACCAAAATCTCTGAGGAATGTTTCCAACACCTTGTTGAATCTATGCCACGAAGAATTAAGGCAGTTCTGAAGGCAAAAGGGGGTCCAACTCGGTACTAGCAAGGTGTACCTAATAAAGTGGCCAGTGAGTGTATATATTGTTGGGGGAATTTTTTCCCCTTAAATCTTGAACTGTATGAATGCTTTGAAGTTCATCACATGTCATGCATGGCTGTCCTTTATTTGGATGTTTTATTTAAAAATTCTGATGTCCCTTATAGTTTTGTTTAAAAAAATGCTTCTGGTGTGTTTTTGCAGGACATGGGCACTGTGGTTTTGGGGAAATTGGAGTCGGGATCAATCAGCAAAGCTCAGCAACTTGTGATGATGCCCAACAGGGTAAGATTATTGTAACATAACCCTTTAAAACATCAGGCTTTATGGCAAGAATTGGCTGACGTATCTGTGCTTGTCTCAACTGTGTGCAGCACACTGTGGAGGTGCTGAGTTTGCTGTCTGACGATGTTGAAACCGATGATGCCGGCCCGGGAGAGAACTTGAAGTTGCGACTCAAAGGCATTGAAGAAGAGGAGATCTTGCCAGGCTTCATCCTCTGTAATGCTGAGAACATTTGCCACACTGGGCGCACCTTTGATGCCCAGGTCAGTGGAAACTCCCACTGTAATTAAAAGAATGATCCAACTTCAATACATGTTCAGCTCTATCAACAGTAGATATGATTACTCAAGTTCCTTGTTTTTGTTTTGCAGTGCTACATATCAATTGTGCTTTTGTTTCTGCCATTTCAGATAGTCATCATTGAACACAAGTCAATCATCTGCCCAGGTTACAACGCAGTCCTTCATATCCACACCTGCATTGAAGAAGTGCAAATTACGGTAATGGTTGCAAATTTTCAGTTTTTACATTTAATATTTGGCCAGAAGTTCTCTTGTGGTGTACAGGGTTCCCACGCTTCTTGAAAGTACTTGAATTTCAGGCATATGTTTTGGTAACCACTTTTTAAAAAATTATTTGATCTGTGTTGATATATTTCCATGTCAAACGCCTATATATATTTTTTTTTTTCATGTTTAGTTTAAGGCAGAAATCCTAAGTACTTCAAGTACTATGCATTACTAATTCCTATATAACTTAATACCTTGCATATGCAAACTGCAATGATTATTTTAAGTGTTTCTAGATCCTGCATGTCGTGTAAAACATGGGCTTGTTATGAACTATGATTAGCCCTTTGCTTAAACCGGTTGCAATGTGATTTTTGTATTTGTGTGTGCAATTACTCTGAGCCACAAATAGGGCAGTGTGGTCCAGCTCCAGATGTTCATTCTGACACACCCACAGGGAGTGGCTTTCACTCCACTGTATTTTGTGGATAAATACAGCAACTGGCAGGCAGAAGTGGAACAAGAGCTTCTGTACAACCATTGATGGGGCCTGAGCTTTCTGAGTAAGTGCTTCATTTTTTGATTAATGTAGTTAAGTGATGATGAATTATTTTTCTATGTCAATGTTTTAAATGATCTAAGGCCGAGTTCATATCGGTGGTCTTGCATTTCTGTAGATCAAGATGCATTCCAACATATCTGCTGTGCGGATGCAGACTGATGAAGCTGGTTCATGTCCTGGAAAGACTTCCCACAAAGGAGTGAAATGTGGCTGGAGTCACTTTAAAAAGCCAGCCCTGGCCATCTTCATTGGGGGTCTTCTCTTTGGCATGGGCACCGCGCTGTCCTTGTTGTACTTCACACAGGTGGGCAATGTGCCCTATTTAGTAGGACCCATATTCTTGTCCGTGGGGCTGATGTTTCTGGTCACTGGACTTGTCTGGGTGCCCGTCATCAAGCAGAAGATGGTCCATACAGCCATGACCCAAATGAGCCATGGCAGACCTCTGCTACCTGAGCAAGGAATTTATTGAAATTTAAGATTGAAAATATGAAGCAGTGTGTTTGTCTACCATTAAATCATATTATTTATTGATTATGACTTAATGAATTCGGTTGTTGAACAATTATTGTTAAAATAATATTGTTATAACTTGTAACGCACTGATGATTATGTTCATAGTGACTGTTTGCAGCCTAGTGTAGCTGTCTTATAGGCCTATATTTCCCCAGAAAATATCATCTTTATGTTCTCACTTCGTTTTAGGAAGCAGTAATCAGTAGTATTAAGCACGCCTGATTCATTAACGAATCAGTTTTTGGGTCTCCTCATTTAATAGTTACCTGGTGCACAAAACGATTTGTTTATGAAATCAACTTATTCGGTCTGAGCGATCAACAATCGACTCACTGAACCGAGGAGAAGGGTCTGGCTGCAGCCTCGCACTTGCACTCTCAGACACTTGCACTTCCGCTAGCGACGTCACTTGCAGTCTTTTTTATTTTCTATTTATTGATTACTTTTTGTTTGAATCGCTCAACATTTTACAACAGTAGCCAGGTGGTGAAGACAAGAATGACATTTGGCTCGGTAGGGGTCTAGTTGTCTTTCAGAGGTGGTGGCTTCATACACAGGTGATGAGGTCGGTGCGTATGGGTCTCGGGATAGCCATCAAGTGGTATCTGCACAGAGTAAGAAAGAAAACAAGAGACGACAGAGCAGTATTTGTTGTAAAAGACTGCAAACACTAGGGTTATATCCTTTGTTCGATCTGAGTCTGCTATTTGTCGATTGCAAGTGATGTCGCAGGTAGCGGAGAGTGCAAGTGGTGATTGCAAGTGACTTCGTAATTTAGTTTCTTTTGTCTTGTCTTCACCACCTGGCTACTGTTGTAAAATGTTGAGAGATTCAAACAAAAAGAATAAATAAATAGAACAAAATAAAAAAATAAAGACTGCAAGTGACGTCGCTAGCGGAAGTGCAAGTGTCTGAGAGTGCAAGTCTGAGAGTGCAAGCGCAAGTCTGCAGCCAGACCCTTTTGGAACCGAGAGCAACGAGGATTTGAGTAAGTTATTCTGAAAGATATTCCGAATAGCAGCAATTTTATAAATAAAACGTATTAAAAAAGTGATTAAAAATGCTTACGACATGATTGTATGAGTTTTTTCAACACACATGCGAAAATTTGTTTTAAAGAATAACGTTGTAATGATAACACAGACATGAAAACACACATGGAGGACCAAACCTACAGAAAATAAGTAAATAAATAAATGTAATAATAGGAAAATAAATGAATAAATTACTTGATAAAACAAATACAATTCTTTTAAAATGAAATTTAGTCCTGATTTTTTTGTATTAGCTACCTTTTCCTTAATTATTTTCTGTATTTATTGTTAACTTTTATTTTATTCTTATTAACTTATTAATTCATCCATTCATTAATTCATTCTGCAGGTCTGGTCCACACACAAGTTTTCTAGCTGAGAGATGTAAATGAGTATTGTCAGTATTGTTGGTAACTTACTGAGTCGAAACGAACCGATCGAAAAAAACAAACAAACGATGAAACGAAACTTTTAATCCTACAGTGAATAATTATTATTTTATAGGTGTCGAGCAGTATTTTTCAGCGCCTTCTAGTGTCCGAGGTAGATAAGGGAGGATCGCTTGAAACAAACGTATCCAAACAACCAACCGATGGCTTGCAAAATGATGGCGTCATTACAAATCGGCCAATCAGAAGCAGGCATGAAACAAACCACGAGCTGAGAGTTTTTACACAACAGTCGGAACTGAAGAGTCCCATTGTCAGGAGTGTAACGTGCCAGAAAATAGTTTGCATAGTGTTGTTATTTATTCTCAGGATCGTAATCATACTACTTAGCTCAACATATCTCTCACAGGAAGTAGATAGATATTTGGAAGAAAGCAGCTTTGAGCAAATACCCGGAGGTAAGTAAGTTGCTAGCTAGCGTTATCAGTTCGGTTGAGTTCTGAGATGTGTTAGTTCTCTAAAACTCTGCGCAACATGCTGCTAATTATATCGTTATTGTTATAAACAACAGTTTCAGCCAAATTACACGTCAACGTGTTCTTCATTCGTTATTAAAGTAATTTTGGTCGGAGCCTGAATCCGCCTACTGTTGCAAAAACTTCCAAGTGGCTGCTTTGTTGTTAGCCAGCTAGCAAATTTAAAACGGAAGTCTTTTCATATGATGGTGATAGAAAGTTGATGTGCTCTAAAATGTTTACTGTTATCCGAAACATAACTGCATACCACTTTGTTGCAGTTTTTAAATTGGGAATTAATTTTCTGTTGTTAGTTTAGCTTAGGTTATAAATCCTTAAGAAGTCTTCAGATAGTCTAAGACACACAGTCAATTGTAGCGTGAGTCGTGCGCCTGTGGGGAAATATCTTTAGTTTTTAAAAATCATCACAAGACACGCTCTTCCTCTTCTGTTTTTTCCTCACTATTACCTAAAAAGCTCTCCACCCTTTCAAGAAGAAACAATTTCAGTAACAAAATCGTCTAGTAAGTTTCACAGATTTTTGTCATTATTATTGTATTTTTTAGAATGCCCTTGGATGACCACATCAAACAGACATAGACCCCAAATAATTTGATAATTTGACCACAAACAATTTGATTTGTTACTCCAAACAATGTTTTTATGCAATATAATCGATATATTTTATCAATCAATTAATTTATTATTCCTATTATTATTATGACTTTTTTTAATATATTGATGGCCATTATTTTGCCAGTAAACCTGACTGCACAGCAATGAGTGACCCTGAGCCAGCAACATTTGCATCTGTTGAACAAGAGAGGGACTACTGGAAGGAACAAGCTGCCAAATACCAGCAAAGGTAGGCTACTTCAGTGTTGTTTTTCATTCAAAATGACATTTGATCTACATTGGACATAATGGAACTTAAGGAAAAGTAAGGCAGTTTTGCAGAGCCCAGGTTTGTTGCTAAACACCTCAGATAGAACGAAGGATAAGATCTTCCTTTACAACCCACATTCAGTCATCTTATTGAATCACTGCTTGTTCAGGGCTGAGGAGGCGCAGGAGGAGCTGCAGGAGTTTCAGCAGATGAGTCGAGACTATGAGGCGGAGCTGGAGACAGAGCTGAAGCAGTGTGATGCCCGTTATCGCGAGCTTCTTACGGCCAACAACAGACTCCGCATGGAATTAGAAAACTACAAGGTACTGTGGTGCATCATAGACACATGGTTAATAAACTGCTCTTTTTAAAGATTCATGATAGTCACTGTTAGATTTTGCTTTATTTGGCTGAGCAGTTGTTTGGGTGGCTCGCCGATGTACTAGATTTCTCTAACACATAAAGTAAGCTTGACCAAAGTTCTTGTGGGGAGAAGAATTTATTGAAGGTTGTAGTGTAGCAGTTCTTCAGCGGCGATGTTAGCATGTCATCCTTTGGAAAATCTTATCCCAAGGTGCTGTCTTTAGCCACTTTTCCACCGAAATTACCTGGAACAATCTGTCCCAGGAACTTTTTTTCCCCTAGACTTGTTGCTGTCTGCATTTCCATCGCGGTCTAAAGTACCGTGAAGAATAGGCAAATAGTCTGGTGACGTAGGTCTGCTCGTGTTTCTCAATACCAAGTATGCAAATTTCGGACTTGCATCCTCGGTAGTTCGGACTTTGCGAGTTCGGCTCGGGAGTGTGACAGTGAAATCCCGCGAACGGGACGACGCAAGTCCGGTAATTCTGCAAACAGCAGTGTACTTGATAACGTCAGTCAGCTCGCCTTGGCTACTGCAATTTTCCTCACTGTATTTACAATAAGACGAAATATATCAAACACCACTGCCTCCTTTCGTTTTCATTTAAACATATTAATAGTCGCAGAAATGTCATTCAGGGGATGTATATAGCCTACATTACAATGAAACAAAATATTATATCAAACAGTATTGCCTCTTTTTATTTTCATTTTAACATATTAATAGATTAATAGAATAAAGACCAAAGATTACCTGTTAGATTTACCCAAATCAAATGGTATCATATGTTTAACCACTAAAGAGACATCAGAGCCAGCGGCAAATGTCAGAAGGACTAGCCGAGTTGAGGCTGCTCTCGTCGGGAAACAGGAGCACTGAGCGCCCGCTGATCGCGTGGAGCTCACGTCTCCGAAATCGGCGAAACACATTTTTAAGTAGGCGCTGTCTTTATAAAGAAACCACATATTTGAGTTTTAAACAACTACATTCTCGCCTGAAATACTTTTAAAACTACATTTCATGACACAATAACTGTAATATTTTGAAAATGATCTGAATATATGGTGGTTGAAATACAATGCTGCGTGAACTCAACCAATCAGCATGTTCAGCGCCCAAGTCCCGCCCCCGAACGTTCCGGACCTTTGAAAAAGTACTACCTCGCGAGCAGGGACTTTCTGAGGGGCAATATTTCACCCGGAAGTTTATTTAGATCCTGGTTCCTGCGGTGGAAACACACCGAGTACCGGCCCAAAGTCCCTAGTTCCTGGGTAAATT